CACAAGATAATTCTTTTAATAACACAAACGATAACCGTGGTTATCGTGTTTAGTTTATTTTAAATATGTGGTTTCAATACAAAATTTACCTTACGACTAATTTGACTGACGCTGGCCCTTCAATTTATATACAAATTGGAAGTGGGTCAATATACCAATGATGTTAAAAATAGTGAAAGGTACAAAAGTTTCTAATTTATTTTAGGGTCTGTGAAAATATAGAAAGTTATTATATTTTGATAAAGGTATTTAGATTTTTAGAGAAGAGAAAGTACCTATGCATTACACAATCTTATTACAACTTTTTGTTATCCCTTTCAATCACCTTTTCTCTATTACTTTTAAAATCCTGTCTATTTCCTTATATCTCTTTTAATGTTAGACCTTATATATTCTTTATACCTATTAATAACCTATTCTCAATAACTTTTAATAACCTGTCTATAAACTTCTATCTCTTTTTATGACAGAAGTTCTTGATACTCTTCTTTCTCTACATTATTTTATAACCTTTTCTTAATAACTATTGATATCCTATTTATACCCTTCCATCGCTTTTTATGTAGGATCTTATTAACACTTATTTATTACCATTATTCCCATTATTGAGATAGAAAAAGATATAAATGCGAGACTACAAAACTATAAACCTTTTTTATTCCTTTTTATCATTCTTCTTTTTCGAATGGTATTCTTTTAATCTTCTTTAAATCCCATATTCTATCTCCTTACTACATTTAGAAGAGATAGGGATAGTTAATATGGGGATTTGAGGAGATATAATAAGTTTATCTCTTCTAATCTACTATAGTATATCCCTTTGTATATACATACTCATAAACTTATACGCGCATGCGTCGATCTTCCCAGCTGTTATGTGTCATGGCGTCGGGTCAGTAGATCAGAAAGCGTGTGTTATGCACTGTGCGATTTTACGTCTTTGTTTGAGTTTAACTTCCATATTTTTTTAGTTCATTGTAAATATATTTAACCAATAAATGTTTATCAGTAATAGACAACCAAAATTAGTTTTAAACTCACACAGCACCGAAACTTTTCTAAAAATTTATTAAAGACTTACTTGCAAATTTTTTATAGTTAATCGTAATGAATTAGAACAACACGATTAAGAAACTCAATTAACAACAATAGAGAAAGCTTTTAATTGTTTTTAATTGAAATTAATCGATTTCTTCTATAAGGGATATCTCTTTTTTTACTTTCCTTTGGATTAGAAAGGATGTGAAAATGGATAGAGTATTGAAATATGTATGGTTGGCAATATAATTATTTCTATGTATGGTTGGCTGCACTGAACGTGAATATAGACGTGAGGTTATTTAGTTGAATGTCGACCGTACTAATATGCACACATGTCGAATCTAATAAATATATTTTATTATATATTTTACTTTCTTAATTTAATCACCTTTCATTAGGTTATGGGCCCAGACCCATGTTCTTTAAGTTTTTTAAAAAAGTATCAAATTCCTGTGGTGATTTATTTCGAAAGGTTGGAAATATTAAAAACAGAATCGGAGAGGTTAGTTTAGCACGTGGTCGACCGGTTAAACGATTTTGGGAAGTGGAAATTTATTCGACGAAATTGTGTGTAGACTGTTGAAAAATCATGAGTGCAATGGATCAACAAAGTACGGGAATAAAACTCTCGGGCGAAAACTGGAATATCTGGAAATTCCAATTGCAGGTGATCCTGAAATCAAAAGGGTTGTGGGACATAGTCTCAGGAGACTCAGCGGGACCAGCGCAAAATTCGGCGGAATGGGTGAAAAACGATGCCAAGGCACAGGAGATATTGGTAATAAGGATGGAGGAAAAACTAATTACGCATATATTGGCCTGTACGAGCGCAGCAGATATGTGGTCGAAACTGAAAAAGATTTACGAGCATGAATCGGAAGTCAGTGTACACTTGCTTCAGGAAAAACTTTTCCGACTGGAATATACTGAAGGCGGCATCACAGCATTTATATCACAAGTCGAAGATATTCAAAATAACCTAAAACAAAGAAATGAAGAGATTAGTGACAAAATGATAATAACGAAAATTTTAATGTCACTTCCGGAAAATTTGAAACACTTCGTCTCAGCTTGGGAATCAACGGCATCTGAAAATCAAACTTTAGATAATCTAACATCTAGATTGATGTTAGAAGAAGAGAGAAATACCCATACTGAAAACGTACTTGCTTTGAGTAGCAAAACAAATCAATATCAAGGTCACTCGAAGCTCAAGTGTTTTCAGTGTAACAAGGAGGGAAACGTGAAAAGGAATTGCCCACAATTAAAATCTAGAGAGGAGAGAACCTGTCATTTCTGTAAAAAGAAGGGACACATTATGAAAGAGTGTTGGTTCAAGAAGAAAAAGGAAGAAAATAACCAAGAAGAAGCAAATCAGGCTTTTGTTGGTGTGAGTAGTGTGTTATCCAGTGCCGGTTGGGAAAACGTCATGGAACTGTCTCCAAAAAGTGACGAGAAGTGGTGATTGGATAGTGGGGCAACAGAACATATGTGCTTCAAGAGGGAATATTTTCACGAATTAAAATTCATTAGCCCAAAAACAAAACAAGTAAAAGTGGGAAATGGTAACCTCTTGGAAGTTAAAGGTGTAGGAAAAGTGTTAGTGAACGCATGGAACGGGAAAGAATGGATAAAGACAGAAATGAACAACGTATTATTCGTGCCGGAAATGAACATGAATCTTGTCTCGTTAAGTGCCGCGTTAGACAAAGGTTTCGAAATGCATTGCGACAAAATCGGTTGTAAAATCGTCAACAAAGATAGCAAGATATCGGCTCTTGCTAAAAGGGACGGTAAACTGTTTCAGATGTTTTTTAAGATATACGAAGTATCTAATTGTAACGTTGCTGAAACATTGATAGAGTGGCATAAAAAATTCGCTCATGTCAATTACGATCAAGTGCGAAAGGTACTGAAGAACAAACAAATTAAATTTGTTGACGAGGAAAATCCTGTGTGTATAGACTGTTTAGCCGGTAAACAACACCGATTATCATTTACTTTGAGTAAATCGCGCGCGGAAAAAGTCGGTGAAGACTTTTCGGGCTTTAGAGTCGTTGAGTTCGTAAAAAATAAATCGGAGGTCAAGGACAAAATAAAAGTGTTTATTCGTCAAGTGAAAAATCAGACTAGAAACAAAGTGGTGACATTCAGATCTGATAATGGTCTGGAATTTATTAACAGTGATATAAAGTGAATATTGGATCAATTTGGAATACGACACGAACGTTCATGCACATACACACCGCAACAAAATGGGCGAGCAGAGAGAGATGAGAACACTAGTGGAAGCAGCGAGAACAATTCTGAATAGTACGAAGCTAGATAAAAGTTTTTGGGCCGAAGCTGTCAATTCCGTGGTGTTTGTGTTAAACAGAGTGAGCAATTGTCCACAAAAAGGTGAGAATCCTTATAAACTATGGTTTAAGAAAGATTTCCAAGTTGACTCTTTAAAACAATTTGGATTAAAAGTTTCGGTTCACATACCAAAACAAAAAAGACTTAAACTCGATGTGAAAAACAAAGTCGTTTTTTTCGTCAGCTATTGTGAATTAATAAAGGTTATCGCGTTTATTTCCCTGAAAACAATAAAGTTGAAGTGCATCGAGATATAATCTTTTTACCCGAAAGTGTTGAAGAGAAAAATAATACAAAAAAGGAAAAAATTATTTTTCTAAATAATGAACTCGAAGAAACTTAAGAGGAAAGCTATCAAAGTGAAGATGAAGAGGAAAAAGATGAAAGCTTCGAAAGCATGCATTCCGAAAACGAGGAGAGAGAGCAAGAGGACATTGCGGAAACGGAACGAGAACAAAGGCCGAAGAGGAACATAAACAAACCAGCGTGGCAGAAAGACTACACGGAAAAAAATTAATCTCTAAACTTGAAATAATATTAATTTGAAGTCCAATGAAATATAAGTGTATCTAAATTAAACATTATAGTCATAATTACTGTGATAAGTTGTGTTCGATTCTGTCAAACTTTATACCAGAAAACGCCATAAATTCACATCTCTGATTTAGAGATTTGTTAATTTCACAACTTTTTTTATATGAATTAGGTACATTGTATTTTAAGTTAATCAGTGACAAAAAAGATTTAAACCATTTTAATTAATTAAGTATTAATTTTATTTTCAAATATCCAAATAAAAGCGAAGGTCTGTGAAGAAAGGTCTGTGAAATTTTAAGGTTACAATTGTCGCCCGACAAAATACGGCACTGACTGATTTAAATGACGTGAAATAGGTAAATAAACATTTTTCAACCACTTTTTCTCTAAACGCAGACACTTTTTACAAAATAGGCCAACATACAATGGGTAAGAATCTTCTTAATAACCTAAATTCAAAAGATTGTTTAAATTCATGCAGAAACGCGGTTGTCAAGCGGTTGTAAAATGTAAAATTGGAAATGATTGGAAAGTAATGTAATGACAGACAACAAGAAGCGGATTACTGCCAGTCGCCAGAAGAGGGCAGAAGCATGCAGAGAGCACAATGGTCCAGCTGTTATATTCTTAGCATTACATCACTTTCCAATTTTACATTTTACAACCGCGTTTCTGCATGAATTTAAACCATCTTTTGAATTTAGGTAATTAAGAAGATTCCTACTCGTTGTATGTTGGCCTATTTTGTAAAGTGTCTGTGTTTAGAGAAAAAGTGGTTGAAAAATGTTTATTTACCTATTTCACGTCATTTAAATCAGTCAGTGTCGTATTTTGTCGGGCGATAATTGTAACCTACAAATTTTACAGACCTTCCAACGCCGTTAAAACAAAAAAATGAAATAAAAATATAACATTCTTCACAATACTAATATTCGGATTAGATATAATACCAAATTTCAGTTTTAGTGATCTGCTTACATCTTACGTCCGATTTCAGTGATAGTTTATGCCTAAATCTCAGATTTAATCTCTAATTTAGAGATTAATTTTTTTCCGTGTACGAAATGAATTTGGAATCAAGTTTTTTTACGATAACAGAAAACCCGATAAGCTTCGAAGAAGCTGTCACAAGTGAAAACGCGTGTGAGTGGAAAAGAGCGATAAAAAAAGAGCTTGATGTGTTAGCGGAAAATAAAACATGGAGTGTAGTGAAATGACCGGTAAATAAAAAAATAATCCAAAGCAAATGGGTGTTTAAACAAAAAAGTAAAAGTGATTTTAAAGCAAGGCTCGTTGCACGAGGTTTTCAACAAGAATTAGATAACGAATTGTATGATGTGTATGCGCCTGTTGCGAAATTGGCGACTTTTAGAATTCTTTTGATTGTTGGAAATAAAATGCAAAAACCGATTTATCAAATGGATGTTCGAAGCGCTTTTTTGTATGGTGATATCAAGGACGAAGTCTATATGTCATTGCCAGGTCAGGAAGACAGCGAAAATGTATGTAACCCTGTAAAAAAAAAAGAATTGGGTCGTCCGGGATTTCGAATTGGGATGTCGTTTCTTGAATTCGAGAAAACGACTTTTTCGAATTGGACTGATTTCTGAATTCAGAAATGTATGGTTCCGCGATCAACCCAATTCGACAGATATTTTAAAGATGAAAATAAAGAGTTTAACACTTCACTGGACATTGAACAGTAGTTAATTGAGACGGTGCACGTTATTCACGTAGGTGAATACATTTCTTTAAGCAATAATGTTAATTTTCAATAAAATAGAGAGAATTAAAAATTTGATGTGGTCTTTGTTTACAATAGAAAAAGTTTTCTACTTTTAGGGTTATTAAAACAGCTTACTTACCGACAGCTGAGAAATATTATGATAACAAATCAAATGATGATTTCTATACGAAAGTATCATTTACGTCGGTAATTGAATATTAATAAATTAATTTTAAATTTTTGTTTTTTAAATGTATCTAAAAGTCAACAAGTTTGCTATGCAAGTTTTAAAAAATTCTATTTTACTTTACGAGGAATTTTTCTTTCAACATTTTTAGTTTTGTTTCTGAATAAATAATGAAAAGAAATTTACTTCCGTGAAGGTTTGTTGTTCTAGGACATTTCGATTTCAACTTTGGTGCTCATTTTAGTCTCCATAATTTTTTTTAAATTTGATTAACAAAACCTAATTTTTTAAAAAGAATTTGCTTTACTGTACAGCTTGATTTGATTTTTTTATGTTAATCAAGAAATGTTAAATTAAATATAAATTTCTCTTTAATTCAAATGGAGCAAATTACAATAATTGTATCATGAAAATAAATGAGGCAAAAGCAGAATTATTTTTCTTTACTCTTTATTTCTCTTGTGAATATTTACATTTAGGAATCATCTATATTAAGTATATTTAAGAGAGCATCATTGTTGTCATCGAAATGTATTAAAATAAAATATTTTTTTCATACTGAATAAAATTTAATTTTATAAAACTTCAGTGTCACAGGAACCAGAAGGAGAAAATTTATGAATTATCATTTTATGCAGATATTTTTTTTAAATTTATATATAAACGTTATTTTAATTGTTTAACAAGATTTTAAATAAACGAAATATTTTAACATTATTTACTTATACTTAATTTAATCCTAATTTATAAAATTGAAGAATAAATAATTTAAAAACGTTTTAATTATGAAAATCAAGAAAAGAAATTATTTTTTTGTTGATTCAAATAAATTGTTTTAAAATTATTATTTTTATAACAAACATATAATTATATTTTGAAAAAAATATTAATTACAGTAATTATTGTAAATTTTTTTAAAATATTCTTAATAAAAAATTTTTAATCCGTTTAAAAATTTAAAATTAATTTATTAATATTCAATTACCGACGTAAATGATGCTTTCGTATAGAAATCATCATTTGATTTGTTATCATAATACTTCTCAGCTGTCGGTAAGTAAGCTGTTTTAATAACCCTAATAGTAGAAAACTTTTTCTATTGTAAACAAAGACCACATCAAATTTTTAATTCTCTCTATTTTATTGAAAATTAACATTATTGCTTAAAGAAATGTATTCACCTACGTGAATAACGTGCACCGTCTCAATTAACTACTGTTCAATGTCCAGTGAAGTGTTAAACTCTTTATTTTCATCTTTAAAATATCTGTCGAGTTGGGTTGATCGCGGGACCATACATTTCTGAATTCAGAAATCAGTCCAATTCGAAAAAGTCGTTTTCTCGTGTTAAGAATGAATTTATTTATTATTTAATAAATATTAAATATTTAAATTATTTCACCCCGTAGTGAACGTCAATGCTCTAAGGAAACAAATAATTTTATTTAAAGGTAGTGGATTCCTTTTCATTCTTGGTTATCATTTCAACCAATCGGGTGAGAGACCGTATTTTGGAAATATTATGAAAATTATATTAATATTATTATTATATTATTATATTATTATATTATTATATAATATTATTATATATATTATATTAAAATAAATAAAAAATATAATATTATTAATTATTTTTAATAATATATATATATTTATATATTTTATATTTATATATTTATTTATTTATTTATTTTATTTTTTTTTTTTATAAAAACTATAATATTATTAATTATTTTTTATATTTATTATATTATATTATTATTATATTCTTATTATATTATTATTATATTATTATTTTATTATTATTATGAAATTATTAATAGGATAATCTAATTTTTAAGTAAAATCAGCAATAAAATAATATTAAATGACAAACTTTTATTTTATATTGAAAACAATCGTTTATGATAATGAATTGTGTATGTGTTCTTTTTGTGTTTGCGTATTCAGTATACTCACTTTAACTGAGTTGTAGTGTCTGGAACCTTATATCAAGATTTATTTAATTAATATCTTTTTAACTTTTTTTTAAATATTTTTCACATATAAAAATACTATGTCAATTACTCTTTTTAAATCACTCAATGAAAATCTCTGGAGTCCCTTCGTGAGACTTAAAGCCAACTTTTGCCTAACTTCGGCTACTATGGCCAAACATACTTTGTTTCGCCAAGATTCACGGGCAACTGCCATGATTTCCCTTTGTCGATTCTTTTTATTGAACGACATTTTGGTGGAAAAGACCTACTTATTATTAAGTTATTACTTAATGATTATCTGCTACCTTGCAGATTTGTTTTAATGTCATTACCCAAGTTCTGTTGCTTGGATGAACCACTTTTTACATTGAGAAATATCGTAAGTAAATTCTACTTACTCTTAAAGAATATTTGACACAGTATTGCACATTATAAAGTATCACAATCTTCATTTCATTATTTAGATCTTAATACAAAATTCCTTACTGAATGTTGTAATATGTGTGTTACAAAGTGTCATCATGTGTTAAAAGTGTGATTGTTACCTCATAAATCGACATGAATAAATGCTTATTGAGTTCATTTAAATACAATATGTTTTTTATTAAAAATATAAAAATGTTACGAAGTCATACGTAACATCTCGAATTCAAGAAACGACATCCCAATTCGAAATCCCGGACCACCCAATTCTTTTTTTTTTACAGGGAAGTTAAATAAATCAATTTACGGTTTAAAAAAGTCTCCAAAATGTTGGAATACTAAATTCGATTTGTTAATGAAAAAAGAAGGGTTTAAAAGATCGGAAAATGATTATTGTTTATATAGCAAATGCGACGGAGACGAAAAATTGTATTTACTAATTTACGTTGATGACGTATTAATTTTGGGAACTAATCAAAAAGCGGTAAATAAACTAAAAGCAATTTTGAATGAAAATTTTTCAATGAAAGATTTGGGGGTAATTTCGCAATATTTGGGAGTTGATATCGAGCAAAATTTAGATACCGGGTGTACGAAAGTTAGTCAAGTCGAGTATTTAAAAGAAGTTATTCAAAAATATGGTATGCAAGATTGTAATGCGGTAGATACTCCAATTGAAGCAAATATCGATCTAAATTCGTTAAAAAGTGAAACTCCGAATTTTGAAATGCAAAAAATTTGTCGAAAAATAATTGGAAGTATTATGTATGCAGCTTTGGGTACTAGACCCGATTTGTGTGAGTCGGTTAGCTTACTTAGTAGATTTCAAGACAAAGCAAATGAAAATTTATTTAAAGCGTTAAAAAGATTGTTAAGATATGTTAAAGGAACAATCGAAATGGTTTTATTTTTTGAACCAAATAAGAGTAAAATTATTTTACAAGGATTTGTTGATTCCGATTGGGGTGGGGATACTACGGATAGAAAATCCACTTCGGGGTTCGTATTTAAAATGTATGACTGTACAATTTCGTGGGCCAGTCGAAAACAGAGTACCGTAGCCATTTCTTCGACGGAATCCGAATTCGTTGCATTGAGCTTAGCAGTTTGCGAAGCCTGTTGGCTTATAAAATTGTTGCGTGATTTAAGTATTGAAATAAATGAGCCAGTTACATTATTTGAGGACATTCAATCATCAATCTATATCGCAAATAATCCTGAAAGTAATAAGAGATTGAAACACGTCGATGTAAAATATTTTTTTGTAAAAGAAAAAATTTCAGATGGCTTGATAAAAATTGTCCTTATTAAAACTGAGAATCAAATTGCTGATTTATTTACTAAGCCTCTAAGTAAGATTAAATTTGAAAAGTTCCGAGAACATTTAAATTTAAAAAGATAGATATTTTTTGTTTTATAAAAAGGCCTGCATTACGAATATGTTTGTATGTAGATAAAATAATTTTATTGAGAGGGGGTATTGAAATATGTATGGTTGGCAATATAATTATTTATATGTATGGTTGGCTGCACTGAACGTGAATATAGACGTGAGGTTATTTAGTTGAATGTCGACCGTACTAATATGCACACATGTCGAATCTAATAAATATATTTTATTATATATTTTACTTTCTTAATTTAATCACCTTTCATCATAGAGGAAGATAGAAATGTATGAATAGAAAGAGATTGAAATCTTCTTTATCTTCTTTAATTCACCACTTTGCATCCCCAATTTTTAGGGTTGCCACCTCATCGCGGCTCTCGGCCCGGAGAATTTTTCTTGACTATAAGGTGTAAATGCTCCCTAAAGCTTCTACCATACAATAAAGAATATGGAGAATAGTTACTAATTCAGTCATGATGTGTTATTGTTTCAATACTTAAAATTAAAAGTTTTTTTTTAAATAACCGAAGACCGGAAGAATTTACTTGCGGCCCGGAGACCCGGAGATCTACTTCGCAGCCCGGAGTCTCCGGGCGAGGCCCGAAGAGGTGGCAACTCTACCAATTTTTTATCTCTTTCTGTATATTTTTTTCTACAAAGAGAGAAAAAAAGTAAACGGCTCTACCTGTCGGTAGAGCGGTTGCATTAAATGCAAAACAGCCGTTCAACTTGAGGTTAAGCACGCTGCTTACTCTCGAGGGGAGAACGGTTCTCCTTTTTGGGGAAAGCGGGTACACTTTTTGGAAAGTAAGCGGCTCTATTTGTGTGGAGAAGAGAACCGATACTTCTCAAAAAGTATAACCGTTCGACGTTTGCGGCGCTACTGCTGTGCTTTATAAAGGGAAAACAGCGCTCTCTTGCCAAATCAAACGGCTCTATTTTTTCTCTCCGTGTATATATTTCTATATCTGAAACTATATATAAAGAGATTAGAAAGGATAAAAAGAGATATAAATATAAAGTTATAGAAAGAGATAAAAAAATTGTATCCATTTTGCATCTCCAAACTATTACATCTTCTAATATTTTTTTAATATCTTTGTATCTCTTTACCTCCAGCAGGGAATGTAGTGCACTGGCTTTACCGACTAAACGAATGAATTGAATTACTTGCCATTGGTATGGTAGGTTTAAAGTATCAAAGTATATTAATGTATATCATTTTAGGTTTATTGTGCTTCTTCTAAAAGAAGTTGTGGCGTCACTACAAAAACACTAGATTTCGAAATAGGTCAGTCGGTGAGTGCAAAAAGTGCACATAAATGCAACCTGAAAAGTCTCAATAGTTTCTTGTAGTTTGAGGGCCCCATATAAGAGCCCCATGGTTTGCTCTCGATTTCCGGTTGCAAAAAATAGTGTAAACAATCGTCAAAGTTCGAGAAACGTAGTTTTTCGATTACCCTTGCTTCCGGTTAAATTTTAGAGGAAAAAGTTTTGATGGAAAGTTGTAGAGCTTGAAAATACCTTTCAAATGACTGGTCATACGTTGAAAAAGGTTAATTAGTTTAGTTGCAAATGAATTTAAACAATTAAAAATAGCACTTTTTTAATTGTTTAATAACTTTGTTAATAATTATTGAATTTGTTTACAACTCATCAGGAATATTCTCCTTGCAAAGCTGAATAAATTTTAAAAAAAGTCAACTCGATCGCACAAATAGTTTATGTTTTATTACATTTGTTAACTAAGAACATGAAATTTTTCAACGGAATTTCCCCACTTTTGGACCTGCGAATTTCGTTTTTTTTTTCTTTGAGAGTACAGTTTAGGAGTCAAACTTTCATTCCATTTAAATGGGAAATTGATTTTTTTTATCTAAGTGCATAATAATAGACGTTAAAAAAGCGTATGTTTTTTTGACATAAACAAATGGAATAACTCAGTCAATTTTCACTTTATCAATTTGGTGTAAAGGAAATTTAATTTCATTCTTTTTCACAAAACTTGTCCAAAAAAAATCCGACCTAGCTTCAAGGAGGGGGGAGTTAGTATATTTCTTTCAAAAAATTCCTGACTAGTTAATTATCAATATTTTTAATTGCCATTCATACCACTTATAGTTCAATATATGTATTTCATGAAAAAAAATTGGACATAAGGTTTTGTGCATTTATTTTTCATTTATATCAAGTAAAAGTAAATGTATCCTTTTTTCAACCTCTGAACGTCGGAGTGCCCTGGCGGGTTTGGTGAACCGAACTCTGACCAAGTTTGGTCGGAGTTTGGTTTGAGGCAAAATAATGCAAATATTTAGTGAAATATGATATAAAAATAATAAATAATGTCAAAATAGGCATTATTTAATTGATTCGGGTGAAAATTATGTTAAATGAAACAGTAATTATGGAATAATTAAGATTTAAAATATTTTGTGTTAATCTGTCAGTTGAAATAGTTTGCGAAATTCACAAATTGTCGATGAAAATTAGTTTAAAACGTTAAGAAAAAGAGCGATTATATATTCTTTAATATTTAAAGTAATTGATTTATTATATAGTTTTGTTAATTACTGCATATTAACAAGAAAACGTAAATTAAAGTAATAATTTTGTATTCTATTATAAAGTGAAAGTGTATAGTGTCGATAACAGAGGTGTACAGAAAAATAGCCGCGCTCAAAACACGGTAGGTGGCACTAGTAACAATTTCTCAATACTTAGAGTAGTTGTAATTTTATTATTAAATTTCATTAAAATAGAATATACTGTGAAATAAACTGAAGTTTCAACTATTGAATATATTTATTTAATATTCGTGATTAACATTTATCTGCAATTTATTATAAAACAAATTAAAACAATCAAAATTCTCTGTATATGCACTGACATCAATGCTTTTCCGATAGTCAATATACAGTGGCACACGGAAAAAAATTAATCTCTAAATTAGAAATTAAATCTGAGATTTAGGCATAAACTATCACTGGAATTGGACGTAAGATGTAAGCAGATCACTAAAACTGAAATTTGGTATTATATCTAATCCGAATATTAGTATTGTGAAGAGCACGTATTTTTTATGCCTAAAAAAATGATATTAGGAATCTCAAATTTCATGACATGGAACATATGTTCTAAACTATCAACTTACTTGAATAAATTCAAATCTAATATATTATTTAAATAAACAATATTAAAAATTTTAGTCGTATATTTATATAATTCTTATTTTTTTAATAACTCGATGTAATAAGAATTTATAATTTACCACAATTTAGAGTGAGAATTATTCACAAAATATTTATATTGTTTTCCCTGTATAAACTATACATTGACAAGTATAAAAAAGTAGTTGGATATTTTTAAAACACAATACGAATGTTATATTTTTATTTCATTTTTTTGTTTTAACGGCGTTGGAAGGTCTGTAAAATTTGTAGGTTACAATTATCGCCCGACAAAATACGACACTGACTGATTTAAATGACGTGAAATAGGTAAATAAACATTTTTCAACCACTTTTTCTCTAAACACAGACACTTTTTACAAAATAGGCCAACATACAACGAGTAGGAATCTTCTTAATTACCTAAATTCAAAAGATGGTTTAAATTCATGCAGAAACGCGGTTGTAAAATGTAAAATTGGAAAGTGATGTAATGCTAAGAATATAACAGCTGGACCATTGTGCTCTCTGCATGCTTCTGCCCTCTTCTGGCGACTGGCAGTAATCCGCTTCTTGTTGTCTGTCATTACATTACTTTCCAATCATTTCCAATTTTACATTTTACAACCGCTTGACAACCGCGTTTCTGCATGAATTTAAACAATCTTTTGAATTCACAGACCTTCGCTTTTATTTGGATATTTGAAAATAAAATTAAAACTTAATTAATTAAAATGGTTTAAATCTTTTTTGTCACTGATTAACTTAAAACACAATGTACCTAATTCATATAAAAAAAGTTGTAAAATTAACAAATCTCTAAATCAGAGATGTGAATTTATGGCGTTTTCTGGTATAAAGTTTGACAGAATCAAACACAACTTATCACAGTAATTGTGACTATAATATTTAATTTAGATACCTTATATTTCATTGGACTTCAAATTAATATTATTTCAAGTTTAGAGAATAATTTTTTTCCGTGCAATAGCAAAATTGATTTCCGAAAAATAAATTCATCCTATTTTTGTTTGTCATTTATCTTGAATAATTAAATAAATAATAATAACAATTATTATTATTATTAATATTATTATTATTATTATGTTGAATTTTAAGAAATTCGGATTTTTGAATTTTTGATAATTTCCTATTTTTTACCAAAGTGTAAAGACTATTAAATAAGTAAAGTATTTTACAAAAGCACAAAAATAATAAAGCTAAATCCCATATAAAAGAGAAAAAAAAGGTTGAATTTTAAAAAAATCGGTTCTTCGAATTTTTAATAAATTTAGATTTTTACCAAAGAGTCGAGACTATTTAATAAGTAAAGTATTTTCCAAAAGCACAAAAATAATGATGCTAAATCTCATAAAACAGAGGGAAAAATGTTGAATTTTAAGAAATTCGGATTTTTGAATTTTTAATAAATTTCTATTTTTTACCAAAGGGTGGAGACAATTAAATAACTAAGTATTTTCCAAGAACCCAAAAATAATGATGCTAAATCCCATAAAAGAGGAGAAAAAATTTTTAATTTTAAGAAATTCGAATTTTTGATAATTTTTTATAATTTTAGATTTTTTACCAAAGAGTCGAGACTATTAAATAAGTAAAGTATTTTCCAAAAGCACAAAAATAATGAAGCTAAATCCCATAAAAGAGAGGAAAAAATGTTGAATTTTAAGAAATTCGGATTTTTGATATTTTTAAATTTTTTACCAAAGGGTGAAGACTATTTAATTAGTAAAGTATTTTTCAAAAGCCAAAAAATAATGTAGCTCAATCCCATAAAAGAGAGAAAAAAATGTTAAATTTTAAAAAAATCGGTTTTTCGAATTTTTGATAAATTTTGATAATTTTAGAATTTTTACCAAAGGGTGGAGACTATTAAATATGTAAAGTGTTTTTAAAGAGCCCAAAAATATTGAAATTAGATTTAAAATTCCACTGGAACTTCGTAAAAATTTGACCTGGAAATCATGGAAAAGGTATGGAATTTTAATTTCGGATTTCTGTAGGAATCCTGTAATAATTTTTCAATTAAGAAAATTTGTAAATAAAAGTAATATAGGATTTTTTTGTGTGTATCTATCTAATAATTTTTAGAGTGAATCAGAATATTCTTTATGATCAGGAAAAAAGTCAAAATTCTTTCTAGAAATCGGAGAAAGACAAAATTAAATATTTGTGGCAACCCAGTTTTAGCAAGTATTGAAAAATTCAAAATTATTTAAAAATAAAAAATCTTTTATTTTTATTCGCAAAAATTTTGAAATTTTATTAAGTAGA